AAGTTCACTGTAATGTTAATGTCAGTGGTTAAAATCAGCAGACTGTCGTGGTAAGATAATGAATTCAAGTGGTCTGAGTTGTGGCACGATAAAAGCATGTTCTGAGTTACAGAATGAAGTTGACTGTTTGATGTAAATCTCTTGCCAGAAAAATTATGTCAGATTGATTATTGGCAGATCAAGCAGCCTCTGTACCTCTTCTGGTTAGAAAATGCTTTGAAAAACATAGAAGAAAGTAAGAATCATGTGAATTAACTGATGTGCAAAGATGGGCCCCGGTGAAAAACTAATTCCTCACCCAAAGCACCACAGAATGAGCCTAGATTTGTAGAGTGAAAAAAAAGAAGTCTTATAGGATTGCCCTATTCTAATGGTTTTATTTCCGTTGTGGGTACCTACGCCAATTCAGTATGAAGATTCATCTTCAAATAGGTTATGTGGGTTTTCCTCTCCTTCTGTGAAGCAGATATATGTGAACTTCATATAGATCTGCACCTTCTGAGTTAGGCTCCCCACCCTAAAACCTTTAGGCCAAACTTGGCTTAAATGTATACCAGGTGCACATTGCACCTGAGACTTGCAGCTAGGGAAACAGATGGCAGAACAGCATGGCTGTAACGCATAGCTAGTGTCAGGGTAGCAGCAGGCTGTGACATGTAGCTGCTTGCACAAGAAAAATGGCTTTGTCTTCCCCTTCCCTGCCCTTGGTTTTCCTGCTCATTCATCCTGCTGCCCCGTTCCTCACAGGTGAAGTTGGCCAGGTATCCCATATGTTCCTGCCTGTGTCGCCTGTGAATTGGACCTTTGGTTGTGTTCTGGAAAACACAACAACCCTCTAGCTTTTGATGTCAACAAGAGTTTATTTGAAATAAACACCATCATTATGTTAGACCTGCCTTGCATTTATGCTCGGCGTCTCTGTCCACTGTGGCTGTGCAGAGACATTCACAAATGCCCCTGTTGCTTTGGGTCGCCTGGGCTTTAACATTGCAGGACTCTGGCTTCCCACTTGTCACGCAGGCTTTGCTCTTCATCTTTTTGCTTCTAGCATAACCAGCCCAAAGAGGTTTAAGTATCTTACTTTATTTTGCAGCCTCTCGTTTTCATGTTTCGTTATCAACTGATGTCAGTCCCTGTAGCTCCACATATTGAGGCATTGTCCTTGCATTTGATTTATGGCTGATGGCTGTAATATAATTTGGCACCAACAGATATGTCATTGCGTGCCAGTAATTTGAGAACAGAGAGTGATTTGGACAAGCGATAGAACAGTCTGGTTTTTGTCGTCTGTGTCCCATCCCCAGCCCCTGCTTTAGCTGAGCACTCTTTCTTCCTAAAGCAATGTTGACATGTATATTCTGTCAGTCACAGCACACAGTATGTCATAAAATATTTTTGTTTGTTCATTTCAACAATGAAATCGTGGCAATGCCAAAATAAAAAAAAACTTACTATGAGGACTTTCAAAATCAACAGTATAGCATGACAAAGACAAAGCTAAATGAGAACAGCAGCTAGTCAGTTATCTTAGGCCAAAATTAAAGTACATTCAGCTTTTTAACTTCATTTTTATTGGATATAACTCAAGCAAAAAATAAAGCAATACAGATACAAGTTTTTTATAGAGATGTAAAAGGTCCTCATGTAGGAAATGTCTCAACTGTGGCATTACAGAAATTCTGTCAAGAATGCCTGGAGATTTTGAAACACTCTGATTTCTGACATTTTGAAAAGCTGGCTAAATCTTTCTGCTTCTGCTTAAAAGGCAGTTTTACAGCAGCACTGGAGAGAAGAAGCAGTAGTGTATGTATGATAATGTACAGATGATGACTTCTCAGGAAGGCATCAGAGTGCTTCACAGCTACCATGATATTAATAGAACCGCAGATAAGAAAGCAGCTGTTTGAACAAGAAAAGGTGGGTGATCTTGATTGTATTTTCAGACATTACCTAAAACAGTTTATCGACTTTGTACCTTGGCTTCCATTTTTGAAACATGAAATTAATTTGTAAAGTGCTTTAAACACGCAGGTCAAGCATCTCTCAACCCCCAGCCCCGCTCCCCAGAACCCCTGTCTGAAGCTACTTTGGGTTGGTATTGACTGCTTGATTCAGCTCACACTATATGTTGTATACTTAGTATATGCTAGCAGCCATCAGCAACTGAAGGTTTGAGGACAAAAGCTGAATTATCCACTGACAGATTATAACTTCTATGAAAGCAGCTACTGTAAGGGGACATCTCGAGACTATGTACACATTCCAGTTTGAATTCACTCTTCCTCGCAATGAATGCTTAATTTTGTGGTGCTATTAGAATAGGTTCCTATTAAGCTCAAAAATGGAAAAATGTCAGACTTAAATTGTGACTAGTAAATTTATTTTTTTTAACCTCTTCGTTTCAGTATTCGTCAGGATAATAGCGGAATGACCATGAAGCCGTGTACTGCAGTAAATCAGGGTCAACAGAAAGATGTAACTCCCTCTACCACAGAAGACCTGAAAGCAATTCCCCTCCCTGCTTTAGACACTTGAAGCTAAAACTGTAGAAGTTTAAGCTTCTACCTGCTATGTCTAGGAACCTTATGTGACCTAAAGGGTTTTATGTGGAAAGACCATTTTTAATCAGGGTTGAGAGATGACTAACAGAAGCAGGGTATATGGAACAGAACAAGGGTGCGACTCTGCGGCTGCTGAAACAATCAGGTTGATGGGAGGGACTGGCAGTTTGGTCAGCAGAGCCTGGTGGTCCGCTATGAGCCTTGCTCCAGTGAGCAAAAAGGACCAAACAAATTGTGCCTGCTGGATGAGGGATGCTGCAACCTATTTTGGAGTGCAGGTTTGGCCTTCCTGAAGTTTCCTACTAGATTCAGTACTGGCCAAGAAGCTGGGGCAAAGAAATACAGTATTTTGATATTGTAGCAGAGGGGTAGAATACTGCAGTTCCTTCCTATTTAGCTGCTGTAGGGTTCTAGCTGCTGCTGCATAATGAAATGGTTAACTTAACACACTTTAGCCACTGCCTGCAGGCTGCTTGCTGTTTGTCACTGAAGCCAAATCGCCTCTCTTCTTGCCCTGTTTCCCCTCTCCTTTCATACTGCTCTTGCAGGCTTAATTAGAAATGTTGGCTGCCAAAGCAGTAGTTGGGTGAATGCATTTGCAGGGACGTGTGTGTGTGTGTATTTGGCTCCTGGAAACAATTGAAAGCAAATTATTCTCTTTTGTTTTATGAGCTTTGCCTAAAAGGGAACAAAGAAAAGAAACTATCTTCAGTTACATAAGATGCCTTTCCACCACAATTCCTAGTTTGTGTTTCCCACGGTAACTAGGCACAATTGTTGCATGGTTTTGCTCTTGCAGAACAGGCATTACTGGAGTTAAGAGCACTGAAAAGAGTTTAAATGCCAATTTAAATTTTGGAATTAATTCTGATTTTGGGGAGTTCATGATCCTTGTGGTTTGCTACCTGCAAGTGTTTGAACCACACATGTTTACTAGCAAGAATGTCAATATAAAGCATGTTCCAACTCAAGTCTGAGTTGCTTACCAGATGTAACATTAGGAGTTTGCAGTGGGATGGGGTTAGTTACATTTCTATTTCCTGAACAGATACTTAGTTGCAGTATGCATTATTAACTGAGCGCAAATGGTTTTGAAAATTGTCCTGCATATATTAATCACTGTGCATGCAACAGAAAATGTCCCAAATTAACATAGCTAATCAAGAAAAACTGCAGAGTATTTTCTCAAATTAGAAAAGCAAGCCAGGAATCAGTGACCACACTGGCCAAACTGGTCTCTTGGTTAACCAAGAATAGCAGAGGGATTGGGAAGAGCCTACAACACTGACTTACCATCTGAGGAAAAGAGGGGACCTTTGGTCTTTTAAACATGTTCTGTAGAAAGAGAAGGCAGCACAGAGTATGCTGTGAGCAGCATTCACTCCACTTCGTGTGAGAAAGAAGGCTCTGCAGTGAAACCCTGAAGCCAGATATATTGGGGAAGCTGTAGTTGTAAGAAATTCACAGCTTAATCTGCCTATAGGGAAATGGGAGTTGGCTGTTAATGAGATACAAGAAAGATTTAGGGGTTCTGAATGTATGCTCAGACAGGGAAGAAACTGTTTTGAGTATTTCCTGGAATTCAACTTGACTACCCTTGCAACAGCTATTTCATATGGAATACATTCACACTGTAAAGTTATTACACTGCTCCCAAAAGGAGAGTTTTCCTGCTCTGTTGTCTTCTGTATAGATGAATGGGTAAAAGAAATACAAAGAAAGGGGAGGAGGGCACCACATATAACACTGGAGCATGGTGAGCAATAATAAGAGCTGCTGAGAAGAAGAGAGACAGTTTCCTAGAACAAGCACCTTGCTTAGACCTGAAGGTTGTGAGAGGACAGGAGAAATGAAGGTGGAGCCCTGCAGGACAGAGTGTATTTTTAGTAGGGTCAACCCTTCCTGGTACCAGGTTAGGGGTGTGGACTTGGCTAGGAAACACTATGATAAATGAGCAGGGACATTCAGCTTGGCTACAGGACCAGGAAAGGGCTTTGTTCTACACATGCTGCCCTTTCAAAGGGAATGGTGGCAGGGCAGTGGCACACTACCATTGTCTGAAAAGGACAAAGTTTAGCATGGCTCAGCTCAAAGGACTGCCAGTGTGAGTGGGGAAACAGCTATTCTTCAGACTGCTTCCAACCACAGGTGTAGTAGAGACAGTTGATGCAAGGAGCCAGACCAAAGCTACTCCAAAGCCCTGCAACACTTAACCTGTCAGCTTCTCAACACCAGCTACTCTTTCTGCTAATCCACTGTTGCACCCCCTCCCTTGCTAATGCAGATGTAACCACAGCTAAGTGGTTATATGACCAAACTAAGATTAAGTTAGAGCAGCATTTTGACAGCAAATTCAGGTAGCATGAGTTAGGCCCTTACCGCAAGTTACTAGCTTTTCAGAGCTTACAGCTAGATTTCAAAGAGGCTGAAATAAAAAGTTAATTGGCATTCAGCTTTTATTTACAAGATGTCTGAGATGTATACAGCAAGATTTGCTGAACCTGCTGAAGGAGGTTCAGAACTTCATGGGTAAAGCAGATGTAACAGCAGCATACAGTGACTTAACAGCATGGTGACTGGTGCAAAAATTTTGAAGTCGTATAGGAGGCTGGAAGTTTTATAGACGAGGTCTGAGGAGAATATTGTGTCAGTTATAGGAGAAGTGGTAGAGATCCTGTTTGACAGCCATGAGTAAACCAGGAACTCCTTGGCTACCCCCAAGTCTCGAAGAAAACACCACACTGGGAATGGCATCTTTGGAAGATGGGTGGGGAGAAGGGATGGTTCTAAGCAGACGGGCATCTTGAAGACTCCAGATTCTGGTGTAGCAATCCTGACCAACTGGAAAGGAAAGGACACCAGAATTCAACATCACACACAGCTCTGCAAGATCATCATCATAGAATCAGAAGGTCTATGGGGAAAAAAAACCCTGACCATTTCTACACACAATAGAGGCAAAAGTACTTATCAATACTTTGTAAAACAGGAATTCTACACTGAATACTGCAAAAGAGGGAAAAATGTGCATTTCCTATTAAGCAATAAAAGGGAGTGCTTTCCTCATTATCAAGCTCCTAAGCCAAAAAAAGGGGAGAAAAACTCAGTGTCAAATTAACCAGAATTCTTCTCATTATTCCATCACTTATTGACAAATCCAAGCAGAGGTCATCACTATGTTTACAGTGACATTGTGAAACTTGGCTATACTGTGCTTCGTTTATTGTTACTCTTCCTCCCCCGATGCCAACTAAAGTAAAATAATCTCCGACTGTAGCCAAATATATTCAAAATGAACCTGAGTGGTACAGACAGTTTACAATGCATTATGCTTACACGCCAATGCTTTACCACCTTACCCACTTAAGCACCAAACATACATATACATGGCCCTTAGTCTCTATATAAGGTTATCACCAAGCCTCCTGGTTACACATTGTGCCTCTGAATTTCAAAATTAAGTATGTTCTGCTCTACTCTTGAGACACACTGCAGAAAGGATAATGGGACTTTTCCAGGACACAGCAGATAAAGCCGTTAAGTGCTACACAGGAGTGATTACAGTAGGTGTGCATCCATAACATGATTTCTTAATTTTCATAGCATATTACAGTATGTCTAAGGCTAAATTTCTTCTGAATTTTAAAGAATTAGCAGCTTTACAGCTTCCAATAGCCGTAGCTAAGAAATACTCCTCTGGCATAAGAAAATCATTGCCATGCACGCTACAAGTAGAGGGGGAAAAAAGTCAACCCACCTGCTGTAAGAAGCCCTTCCTCCTCATTTACATGCAAAGGGAGAATAGCATATTCATTGTGATGACCTTTGTACTGTTTCACGCACTTTGCTGTTCTCAGGTCCCACAGTTTTATCTGCAAGTTGAAGTAATGGTTTGAAAGAGGATATATTAACAAAGGAGAGAACACTTGATGGTTGATCTCAGTGGATCTGAAGAGGACCCGTATATGGGACTACCACCCAGATCCATACTACCCCCCAAAGAATAGGCATCCACCCATGGGACTTGGATAAGCACCTGTCAGTGCTCAGATACTAAAAGGAACAGAATACCCTAAACGCAACAAAACCATACCTTTCCAGCCATATCTGCTGCCATGAGATAATGTTCAGCCTCAAGAAGGCGAAGAGATGTAACTGCTGAGTCATGGAAGAGACGAATTGCTTTCCAGCTCTGGCCCTTTCGGTTGCGTTGACGCACATCAATGCTGAAAATCTCACCTGACCGGCAGCCATTGTACAGCATTGGGGTCTGGAAGAATCCAAGAGAAAGCAGCGTACTATGTAACATCAGAAGGGATCTTACAAGTTATACCGACAGAAGCTTTGTAAAGCTTTTAAAGCTCTTTGGCGCAGTTGTCAAATGATTTTATTACCACAGGCATTAAGAACCAGAATTTTTATTACACACTGCACATTTTTCAGCCAACTCATTAGTTCCATTCAAACCTCAACTACTTTAGCTGTAAAAGCTTAGCTAGGCACATAAGAACTTAGTCTAACACAACAGCAAAACAGGAACTGGAATTCTCATATTCCAATTTTACCCTTCTCACTAAATCTTTGTGAAGAAATCCACTGTATAAGAGTTTTCTCCTTCTTGATGGAGACAGTACACTGAGTGTTAAATGAGGTAATTTGCCAAAACCAAAACAATTTTACAACACGTTATTACTATGCTCTTTGTACTTCCTTCATTTCCTTTTTACCTCTGTACAATTAACAAAAATTACCCCTGTTGCCACAGAGTTTGACATCAGTTCATCTTTTTTGTTGCTACTCAGTTGTGTGGAAGCATCAGACCACATCATTGTGGAACAGCTGTCCAACAGGAATTGTAATCACCACCTTATGTACAGCATGATGAGTCCCATCCCAAGCAGAAGAAAGCAGCCCACTGATGAGGCAGCGCTCTGAAAAAAATGGTGTATGTTTGTTTTTACCTGTATAGCAAACTGCTGTGCCAAGACATCACTACCAGTTCCAAATGTCTGTCGATGCCCTGTCACTACATTGGTCACAAGAACTCGTCTTGTCAGGCCTAAGGAAGACAGATTATGTTTGTTTAGCTGCAATTTGGGTAGCAGCTGGGGATTAATGCAAGAAGTCTTTCCCACCAAGATAGGAGTTGCTAGCCTTGCAGATCACCTGTGCTGAAGCAGTTGTCTGCTTGGGGATTCAGGCACCAAGCACAGGACCAGGCAGTGGATATCTTGAAGCTGCACAGCATTCCAGGTCGATCTCCTAGGAGAGAGGAGCAACACATGAAGCATCCATAAAATGCTAGGACAGGATGATAACTCGGAAAACTTCTCTGGATTTCCATACTTCTTTCAATATTTCAGTCTGAAGCAGAGAAAATGTTACCCAATTAGTGTCCCTGTGCTACTCAAGAGACAGGAAACAAAAGTCAGACTTCATGACTGTAAGCTGAAGACTTACAGTCTGTATAGATAGAGGATTGTGAGAGATTGTGAAATTTATTCAGTAGTTAGAGGGTTGACACTGGCAGGAAAGAGAAAAATAACATTTGCCTTACAGCTCTAAGTAAGCCATATTATAAAGACAAGTGGGCTAGAAACACAAAACATTTACTTTACAGGCTATAGATTAGCCAAAGCCTAACCTGTAGGTTCTTGGCCTGCCTACTAAAAAAAAACCAAAATAAACATTTGAATAAGTAACAATAACCTAGTAGCTCCTGCACAAAGTCTACTAATTGACATAAATTTTAAGTCCTCAGTTTTTACTTCTTTCCTTCATGGCACATCCACCATGTTCATACATACGTCAGTCAGCACAGGTGACATGTCTGAAACATGGTTTTAGACAGGTTAATCTCTGCTTTGCATCTACTTAGCAGGTTCCCCCAAACCAACAATTTAGGAGAGTGAAGTAAGTCAAGAAACTTGGAAATACCTAAAACAGTCAACAGGAAATACTAGACAGGAGGACTTTGGTGGAACTTGGCACATCTGACTATGGCGAAGAGCTTAAAACGTTCTACAAAGCAACTGGGCAGGCTGGCCTAGTAGCAATCCACCTTCAGTGACTCTTCAAGTTCATGCTAACACTATGCATATATATTTTTTTTTTAAATGGCTGCATAAATAGCATGACATTAACATTTTAAAATAAATCCATAACTCTTATCTATCACAGATTTCCTCTGTATAAACTTAACTGATCATGTCTGAATGGAAACCAGGTGTAGAGGACTGTACTGTGTGACCTGAAGAAGCATGGTTCTGACATCTATCAAGAAAGTTTAATCAATAAAGTCCTGCTGCCAAGAGCATTGAACAAACAAATACATAAAGATACAGCTACAGCCATCAGACTTAAGACACAGGATTCTCTAAATCAACTACGCTTACACACAACTGAGCATGAGCTTGTACAAGGAGTTATGGGCTGAGACATTTATCAGCTTTCCACCTTCGATTAATCCGCTGAGCATACTTGTGTAGCTACTACGAGAAGGGATTCTGCAATGATTCTAGACAGTCTATAAGGAAATTTGAGTACTTCTTGTGTGCAGTTTCTGAGTATTAGTTACAGGCCAAGCTACTCGTGAAAAATCTCAAATGTTTACTTTACAAGTGAGGTGCTCGCTTGCCAAAGTCAAGTACTACACCATCACCAGCTAAAAATAAACTAGTGCTCTGAATACTGCTTGTTAATTAATCCTTAAGGCAAGTTCTTTTATCTGTTCCCTTCTTAAACTGTTTTAGACTTTCTAAGTTTTACAAGAATACAACAGTCTCAGCTACTGAAGAGAAGTGCAGAAATAATCTTTCTTTTGTGCTCTTTCCATACCACAACTATCAAAAATTGGAGACAAAAACCCAACAAAAACACCCTACCTGGGTTAGTGCTGCTGAACAATGACGCTGGAAGCAGACTGGCACAGCCTGGTGTTTCTGCAATTCCCATGAGACACAGCTTGCTGAAGTGAGTTAAGGAAAACAAAGATCTCTCCCTAGAATAGAACAGGCTGCCTAACATTTATAGCTGGGAAAAGCAAGATACTCTGACACAGCCACAGCTCACGCTACTTTCCTTTTGAGATCTTTGATGTTACAGTTTACAATTAAGTCTTGACTCTTCTTTCATAGGAAAGAGCTACAAAGAACTCCCATTCTTGCTTATTTTCACTACCAGAAGGGTAAGGTAAGAGGAATACTGAGGCATCTTGCTAGTGATAGAAAAAGAACTGCATGGCCTACACAGCTCATTCTTCTCATCTTTACATGCTGATGGCACTACATTAATATAGGTCTGGTTTTCATAGAGATAAGTTGGAAAACTGGGAGCACACAATGGGGAGACAAGGAAGACTCACTTTAGATTACATTAAAATACTTTCTAAAGATTATAAGAGGTATAAATAGGATTTGAAAGCCACATTTCAAGTTCAGTGAGGTAAATCTGTGACATGACTATGAAAAAGCACAAAATAACCAAACGAAACAATCCCAAAGGCCTAACTAGCTGTGAGCAAGCCCAATGAACTCCTGCCACCTTCTGGATCAGTCCTGAATTGCTTGGCTTTCCCCATGAGACATTACATACATTTCCATACAATGTCCTCTCTTTCAGCACTTCAAAAGCACATCTGTTGCCTGCCATCTCCTGCGTTAAAATCCCCTGTTCTTCCTCTCTTCTGAACTCTGCATTGTCCATTACTGCTTCCTCTACTATACCATCAGCCTCTTCTGAGACAGATCTGCAGAACATGCTCTTAAAGTTGCAGACCGTGATGCCAATGAATTGTCTTGCTCCCATTCTCCTCTTGCCCCAACAACATAGGAATGGTTTACAACAGAAACTAACCAACTACTTTCAAAGACGTCCAATTTACAGAGAAAGTTATTTGCCTTAACCCTCTCTCTTGTTCTTTGCCCCAGCCAATTTTTAAACATCAGATCGACTTGGATGTGGCATGTACACTATTAAGGAAGTAGGAAGCCTCCAGGGCAGGAAACATGGTCTTTCACCTACTATTACACTGAACAGTTCTACACATATCTATAACAGAACCATAGATTTGTCTCATTAGCTCCGACATCTTTATATTTTTATAACTTCCTCTGTTTTACAGAAAACTGAATTTCTGGGGCAACTACATGAGACGTCTTCCTGGAAGTTAGTTGTTCTGTGCAGCATAATGCAGACTTCAAAAAGCTGACGTGAAATTTTTCTGTTTTAAAAAGGATATAAAACATGAGAATCTGGATGAGTCAATGATGCCCAGCACACAGAATTCACCTTCAGACACAAGAAGACATACTATTTTTGTGATCCCTTCGACAATTCATGAAAGGGTATTTCCATGCAAAGATGACATAGAGCTATGTGCTGGGCACACTTCCTTAGCCCACTAAATAGCCCAGTAATGGGACATGAGCATTTTAGCGTCACACTCCTCTCAAATGTAGGAGCAGCATTGAGAAGTCTGTGCAAACACGGATTGAGGCACCAGGCACAACCTCTTATTCAAGGGATCATCCTTAAAAGAATCTGAGCACGAAGAGATTATGAAAGCCTGCTTTAAATATTCTTCATGTTCAAGGATAAACACATTTTCCCAAGATTATTTTTAACAAAGCAGCATGCAAATCTTAGTAATTTCTGGCCCTCAACATCAGTTTTGTCAGCTATGGCCAAGTGCAACTCTGACGTAAGCACTATCCTCAGAAGCTGGTACTTCTACATAGCCTTCCATTCCAATTGTAGCGTAACTTTCCTGAGAACTAACACTGGTACTGAGGACTTTCAGAGACAAATTTACTGTGATTCTGCATTTATCCAAGCTTGACATTGCTAGATCCTTCCATTCTCTCCAAACCCCTTCCCTAACCCTCATGCAGTTCCACCTGGGCCTCCCAAGGAACAGCGTTCTGAGGATGCAATAACTGAAGGAAGCAGGAACAGAACAAAGTACTTTGCGGTTTGTGAAGTAGAGGTTGTCATACATCTCCACAGTGAGAGACTCCTTCCCCAAACCACTGAGGTTGATGATACCATATTTACATCCTCCATGCTCCACATCGTTCACAGTGAATATCCGTTCACAAGCAACATCTGCCTGTAAAATAAAAGCTTACTGGTCACACTTGCCTAGAAACTTACAGAAAAAAACAGCTTGAAGGAGCTGCATTAGGTCTACAATGAAACACTACATTAATTCTGACCCCTTTAATACCGTCAACTTTCCATTCATCTCTCAAAACAGTGGCCAACTACTTTTTATATACATGCACAGAAAAAACATGACTAAGAAAAGGATTTAGTCCTTGAGTAACAGTAAATACTCTTTCCAATTGTATCAGCTCTAGACACTTACTCTGGTTGATTAGTAAGCACAGACAGGTGGTGTTGGTAGAGGACTCAGAACAAAAATTTACATCTTATCAAAAGTACATGTGGAATTCTCCTGCTGTTGGATCACAGCAAAAAGGCTGTTGCTATATTTCAACTTCTCTTTTTTGACACTAAGTTTCTGACTCCCTTCTGGCTTCAGCTACCTATGCAGTGCTCTGTTTACAAGGCCACGAGCTGGTCCTGGAGAGCTTCCTACATAGACTGTGAAAGATATTTGCTCCAGAGACCTCCCCTGCACATGCAGTACCATCAAAACCAGCAGAAACTGTCTTCAGATCATGAGATGTAAAATGATTGCTGATGTTATAGATTCTCTGGGCCACAGACCTTGCCACTCCCAACATTCTTCTCTTCTACTTTCTTCTTCTTTCTCTTAATCCTTTCCACTCCCCCTCCCAGCCCTGCACTAGTTATCCACTCCATTCCTGTTTATTTCTAAGAGAACATGTTGATCAGCTTCAAAAAAAACTGCAACACTTTCATATCCAACCTTTTCATCATTTTCCTTTCTAGGAAAGGTAACAGCCTCTTCCTAACTGTTTATAATCACCAAGCACAGACTTTGAGAACTGACACAACAGGAATAATGCATCTTTGAAAGCAAAATTTGACCTGTGGGATTTGATTACAAGATCATGAATTTTCACTGAAAGTGGGCTCTCTTTATCCTGAAGACTTAATGGTTCTCAACATACCACAATTATTTTAAAATTGTTGGTTCCAGCAACTGAGGAATCTGGACTGCGAATTTCTATCTTCTTCCTCTGCATGCAATTCACTTTTAGTTCATGGACCAGCCTGTAAAAGCAGGAGGGGGAGCAGGAGGAAGAGAAAATTCAGGTAAGCCTAGGTTTAATACCAGTGAAAGGAATTCTGGATAGGATATCCAGAACTGCTTCTCAATCACAGAAGATAAAATGCCTGAACAACTAGCATGATGCAATTTCACTTACATAACTCATGAATATGTGCATCTTCCTCATTCATGGATTTTCATCAACCCCAGCACATCTTTAGTAGCAGAAACAACAAAATAGCAAGTCACTAACTTGCTTTCTGTGCTGTTACTGAATCTGAGCTATCTTAGCTATTCTAACAGGGGGACACGGGGAACAGTCATGTCAGTTGAAGTGCATTCATCTGAAGAAAAGCTGCCCTGTATTCATAAAGCACAATGTGGCAAACCAGCATATATAGAAAAAAATTTGAAGTTTTAAACTCCATTTATCTGAAATTGGGAAACCTCTTCATCTGACTTCTCATCACTTCAGTAATCTGATTATAAAAGAACTATTTTTTTACTACAAGTAATGTGTTCCTCTGTCAACAGTGGAGCAGTAAGAAATGCAAAAAACCTCACAGAAACAGTTGCACTAACAACAAAATTTGGCATTGCAAACAGAAGACAAATCAAATCATTGTACCTGCAGTAACTTGTGGAGCTGAGCAAACCCAGCTGCCTTTTCTGTAACAGCATAGATGAGCTCAGTCCAGCCCTTGTTGTTTTCTGTAAGAGAATAACATGAAAGTGTACTCAGTTATTTGCTTGTTTATGATTCAAACATGGCTATTGGTCTTAGATGTTTGGGATAGTTAGGTAACTTTTTCCTCTAGCCTATATACATTAAAATTTTCAGAACATCTATAGAACACATGCCAGCACCACCTCCCTGGTGTACTGCAGTAAGTAGACAAGAATATATTCCTGAGATGTGGGGTGCTTCTATAAATAGAAGAAAGAGGAAACCCCCAGAAAACAACAGCCATTGTTTTCACTTGACATAATCAGCAGTACCACCCTGAGGTATGAAGTCACCTTCTGGTTTCACTATGACACCTTAAATTCTTATTATACAGCAAAATTTTCTATCACAACAAGACTGTTATTAACTAGGTGGTCTTACTACTGCAGTAAAATACTTCTCCATTCATCATTTTTTTAAATTTCATACAAACACTTTCTGGGGTGACCAAAGGATAGAGTACTTTGCAAAGTTATAGACTAAGCAACCTTTTTGATAATGCTCTGAGAAAGCAAGTATTTAAGGCTCCCAGATAAGAACATTTTGAGTCTAAGTCAGATGTCTGATTCTATAGCCATGTTTTGAGAAGAAAACTATATCCACAGTTCCCATTAACAGTAACGTGGCCAGCAGCTTTTTGGTATCTATGAAACCTAAATTGCTCATGGAAATAGCTAAACCAACTAATTAAAAAAAAAAAGCCAAAACCAAACCAACAGCAACACTTTCACAGTGAAGACTGAGGAGCTGAATAGCTGGTTGAAGTGAGAACTTCATTACCCAAGGAGAAAAATACTACTTGCTTCTTCCAAATGACAGCATACTTAAGCTGACCTGTGATTTGTAAAGTTATAATATACAGCTTTCAGGTCATTAAAAAATATCCTTGTTGGTTATTTTACCCAGATTATAGATATGCAGCATCAGCATTAACTCTGCTGTAACACTTCATCATGAAAAGCATACAGGCTTTCCAGGCATAAACATAAGACCCATCTCAATTTTACCTGTCCATAAAAATTCTTCATGAAAAGACTGTTTCCACAAAGTATCATGAATATTGTTTCTTCAGGGTCCAGGAATATGATATGATGATTTATTAAGCATATGCAAAACTTAAAATCAAGACCCCACTTCACCAATTCAAGACAGGGATTTGAAACCTGGCATCTAATGTCCTGACTCAAGTGTAACTGTTGGACAATCTGCAATTCTGAGCAGTTCCTGTCTCTTTACAAGTTTGTTGTTTGTAATGACTTGCTTTCATTCCTGTGTGGAACAGCCAAACAAAAGGCTTCAAGGACTATAAATTCTCAGCAAAAAAGAAATTTTCATTTCTTCAGACAGCTTAGGGAAATGTACCACAACCAGAATTGAAAGGCTTTAGCTTATAATCTGTCCTGGGCCAGAGCACAATAAAGCCTAATTGCAATCTTTTTCAGAATGTACCTTCTCTTGTTTTTCTTCCTCTTCCAAGAGTCTCAGTCTTTTGCATTCCATCGCCTTGTACTGAATGCTCTCCTTGGTGAGTGGGTTGTAGTTATTATGTCCAGGCAGCAGGCGAAAATACCGGTTCTTTTCTGAGTCATAGTAAAATCCCGGCAGTTCTTAGGGGGAGTGGAAAAAAAAGGTGGCAAAACCCAGGCAAAAATCAGATGCACAACTAAGTTTGTTTATTGCTCTTTGACATCCCACATTTTCATGGGAATGTCAGAGTCACAAGGCTCAAAGCTCTTTCTCCCAGCAGGTCCCAAGCATGATACACAGACTAGGAATAGACAATAGCAACTTAAGGGAAAAAAAGATTATTTACAGTTTCAAATGCAGTGTCATTACACAGGTATGGAAGGGATGTCACCACTGACCAAGATGAAATTCAGACAGATGAGTGAGGCAGAGAAGAAAGGTTTTGCTGCAGAACATAAATGACATTTCTTCATAAATCAGCCATGAGGGCTGCATAGGGTTTGTGTGGCAAGGTTTTGGTAGTGGGGGAGCTGCAGGGATGGCTACTGTGAGAAGCTGCTAGAAGCTTCCCCTATGTCCAACAGAGCCAATGCCAGCTGGCTCCAAGACAGATCTGCTGCTGGCCAAGGCTGAGCCAGTCAGCAACAGTGGTAGCACCTCTGGGATAACATAGTTAAAAAGGGGGAAAAAAGCCCATGCAACAGCAATCGAAGAGAGGAGTGAGAATATGAAAGAGGAACAGATGTCTACAGACACCAAGATCAGTGAAAAAGGAGGAGGGGGAGGAGGTGCTCCAGGCACTGTGGTGAATACTATGGTGAGGCAGGCTCTCCCCCTGCAGCCCATGGAGCTCCATGGTGGATCACATCTCCACCTGCAGCACATAAAGGACCCCACACTGGAGCAGGTGGATGCCCAAAGTAGGCTGTGACCCTGCGAGAAGCCCAGGCTGGAGCAGGCTCTTGGCAGCACCTGTGGACCCATGGTGAGAGGAGCCCACACTGGAGCAGGTTTGCTGGCAGGACTTGTGACCCTGCAGAGGACCCATGCTGGAGCAGATTGTTCCTGAAGGACAGCACTCCGTGGAGGGGACCCAGGCTGAAGCACTTTGTGAAGAACTGCAGCCCGTGGGAAGGACTCGTTGCAGAAGTTTGTGGAGGACTGTCTCTCATGGGAGGGACCCCACACTGGAGCAGGGGAAGGGTGTGAGGAGTCCTCCCCCTGAGGAGGGAGCTGCAGAGAAAGTACATGATGAACTGACTGCAACTCCCATTCCCTATCCCCCTGCACTGCTCAGGGGGAGGAGGTAGAGAAAATCAGGAGGAAGCTGAGCCCAGGAAGAAGGGAGAGGTGGGGGAAAGTGTTCTAAGATTTGGTTTTAGTTTTCATTATCCTACTCTGATTTGATTAGTAATTAAATTAATTAATTTAAATTAATTTCTCCCCAAGTTTGTTTTGCCTGTGACAGTAATTGCTGCATGATCTCCCCCTGCCCTTATGTAGGCCTACGAGCCTTTTGTTGCACCTTCTCTCCCCTGTCCGGCTGAGGAGGGGAGTGATAGAGTGGCTTTGGTGGGCACCTGGCATCCAGCCAGGGTCAGCCCACCACAAGGTGACACTCTTGGTTAAAAGAGTAGGTAGGGCAGTCTCAAACAAACAAACAAACAGAAAACTGACAATGAGGTATCACCCAAACCAAAATAAAGTGATTCACTTCCCAGAACAGACCACTTTCTTCAACACATAGGAGAGATTTAGATACAATCAAGAGTACATTTAGACAATACACAGAGGCTCCTTCCAAAAATAAACTGGGATGAAAGAAACATTCAATTTTAGCGCTTCACTGCCCAGGTAAATTCAGAGGCAGACAGGCAAAATACTTCGACAGATTTATAATGGTACATTGTCCCCAGACAAATTATTTTATTCAGCAGATGTGAGTGTTAACACCTTCATTTCAGGAGTTTTTATTTAAACCTTTATTGACTACCAGAAATTGCTTTTGAAGTAACCTCTTTTTGCTGCTGCTTACAATTGAGCTTCTTGTCAGCATCTTTTAGGTTTCAGCTTAGCAACAAATGACCAAGATTTATTCAGGTCAACAAAAATATAAAGTTAGTGAATGAATTGGTAAGGTTCATAAAAGCACACTGCATTTAGTATACAGAATCTAATTACACAGCAATAAATGTTTTGCAGGATACATCTAACATGCTCACAACCTCTTAAGCACAAAAGGATGATATACCCTGGCTTTGTCTGCTGTTAAGAGGTTAGAAAGTCAGTGGTTTTCAGGACTATTCTGTTGTGGAGAAATGTATGTTCCCACAGGCTTAGCTTTTGCTAGGGTTGTTTAACAAGTCAGGAAACCAGAATGCAAACAGGGCATCTTGCTCAATAGCACTGGTACTGCATCAAGTCTAGTTTCAGCAGTCAACTCCCCAGTAATGAACAAACATTTAGCCAGAGTGTATTTCTTACAGATACAAATACACTGGAGGCATAGAGAGAAGTGATTTCTGCCCCCCCAGCCCTGAAGTGATGGATTTTTTTATAAGACTGAATAACTGGATGCAAGTTGTAATTTTTCATATGCTCTTATTTTCTTTGCTTATTTAATGTTTCTATTGAAAGATGTATTTCATAACATCTTCAGCACATACGAGAAAAGAAACAAAGTTCATTTTCTTCCCAAAGCAACATCTCTGGATTGAGAAACAAATTCTGGCACATGGGAAGCACTTGTGGGCCTGAAAGTGCATTTGGCCCTGCTCTCTAGATTCTCACTACATCTTAGTATATCACCTGATGTTACTTTTCTCTACAAACTTTACTGCTTATATTCTTCCTGTAACACCATACTATTAAAGCAGCTACTACTACTTTTTTGATACAGTCAGCATATAGACAGATTTTTGACCCATAAACATGGTCTCTTACCCGGCACTACAGAGTTCTGTGTTAAACTGGACGAAGAAGGATCTCCACTGCAGCTGGGGCCTGCATTCACTGGGGTCTGGGGTTCCTCCTGTTCTGGCCTGAAAAAATAGCATTGCCTTCAAGACAGGCTGACAATTGTCCTACGCATCTTTCTCACAAAGGATCTAGAAAGCAGCTTGCTATTGACATTAATGGAGTACACTTTTGCAGGGCTGCAATAAGCACGCTGTGCGTATCACCATATACTAAACTATAAAAATGAAACAGTAAAAATATTCAGCTTAAAAACCTCTCAAGAACACTAGATACCAACATCTTAAAAGCCTTAATTACTTGGTACAACATTAAAGGTGGCTGCTGATTCTGCAAGCCTTCCACTCTTTTCAGGGAAACAGTAATTCTGGGCATTTTACTATATCCCGATTAGAAAAAAAACCCACTCTTGAAAGCATGTAAGTTTTCACAGCATAAAGCAAGACACAGCATCAGTAAAACACTGATGTCAGGTCAAAAATATTTTGCCATTCTCTTCTCGACAAGAATTTCAGCGATGAGGTTCAGAAACATGCAACAAACAAAAGTTTAATGAAAAGTCTCTGCTTTTGTAATAAACATTGCAGTTGACAGCACAACTGCAGCTTTCTTCTTTTTGAAATAATTTAAATGGACGGATTCAGTACTGATGAGCAAAATTCCACTGGGATGTTTTCTGAATCACCTGTGCAATTCTCACTTTTTAAAGACAGGTCATATTACATGTCATCTTAAAAGCATTAGGCCAAGATGTTCTACAAGAGATGCAATTTATTGAAAACAAAACAACAAAGAAATTCTAGTTCCCATACCAGCTCTATTGCTGTTTTATTATACAACTTTGAAAATAGTTAAAGAACATAACTGACATACCCACACCAAACCCAAGCACTTTAATTCTATATTCACTGAATTAGGGCCCACTTGCATTTCTAACTTTTCCTACACAAACACAACTAACAGGGCAACTGATATATATGTATATGTGTCTCTCTCTAAAAGTATATTAAAAAAATCCTTAGAGCATTAAAGCAAAAGATTGGCCACTTTTATTCCTGCAGGAAGCACTAAGGAAAGAACACAAGAAAGAAGCCATAAAAGTAGCTCTCAAACAGGCAAGTATAAGTTCTAAAGTTTAAAATGTACTTTTCTGAAAGAATCAGTTTTCAAGGCAGTGGATTGTTCCTGAAACCTTGTTTCACTTTCCTGAACTGCTAGATGTAGCATTATTACCACATTACTTAACACGCTTTCAGACTTTCAGGAAGATCCTTTAATGATAGTTTTTACACTAGTAGACACATGCATAAAACAAACAGGCAGGTGGAATGAAGTACTTGCAAACATTTTTCTTCCCTGAATTATCTTTGCATACTGATGAAGATTTTATGGATGATCAGACACACCTGAAAGGACTAGCCCATGGAACCACATCTCAGTTTAAAATCAATACACAGTTGTGAACATATGATAAATTTCCAGAAATCAGTGCACTTGCACTTCCACTCCCATGAGGGATAACAGCGATAAGAGGAGTACTGTCTACTAGATTTTTAGATGGCAACCCTCCCAGTTCTAGCCACCATTCTGCAAATTTAATTAGGTGTAGCATCTAACAGCTTAACCCATGGTAAGCACAAGCTGCATATACTTGCCTTTCAGTACAGTTATTGTGACTGGGTCTTCTGTACCGATGAGGATGGTAGCTGTGCTTGCGATTACTCCATCTCTGTTTTTCTCTGCTTCTCCAGTAATTTCTCTTCATTTCTACCTATAAAGAAAACATACACACATACTTCAACGCTACTTGCCTCGAGTAGTCCAAGAGACAAGACAGTCTTTTAACATGGCCTCTTTTCAAACAGTTCAAAAAGCTCTGCAGTGGCCAGGAGATCAAAGCCAAGAAAACACATTTTTAAAGATAAATACTTTAAAGTGCAAACGGCATCAGACCTTAAGAAAAGAAAGGCAGAACAGCACCCTGGGCCGTTTGAAGGGAGGCTGAAGGAAGCACGGTAGGGTGTTGACCGCCTCCTGCGTACAGCGCTAATAAACTGCTATTACTAACGGCGGCCAAGTCCCACCGCCGAGCTGAA